TTTTGGATGTGCGGGTTCGAGAAATAGGGGAGCTGTGTTCGAATTCTAGTCGCGTTAGTTACATTGACTTACGCTCAAATACTCTTGGGAAAGGTATAGATCCATCTCTTCTCGTTCCAGCTATGGGCTAAATAGTAGGACAGACTTGGTCCTATCGCCTTGGTTGGTCACCAGTTTACCGCAGAAGTTAACGGTAGGCTACTACAGGAATTCTACGGCTAAATCAATCATGAATCGGAAAGTGATGTGCTCGTTCAAGTGTGGATCACACATTGCACCTAGGAAATGAAGGTGTGGAACCCCATTAAAAATTATAGAAAATTCAATAGATTTAAGTAATGTCACTAAAAACTCATTTTTGTGCAAAAAGTGAGCTACAATTTGAATTTCTGCATTCGTATTTATTGCGATGTTGTCTAAAATTGTGGTTTTGAAATTTCAAACAGCTATGTTTGTTGTCTACTGCGACATTTCAGAGATCACTCTAGAAAAGGATCAACAATATTTCCCTTCCTAAAAATAGATATTTAAAAATTAGGAAAAATATAAAAATTTATCAGTTGTTGTGGAGTATTTTCACAGTGGAGGCTTGTATTTCTAATAAGTCGTACAAAACGTTAGGAACTTGGAAAACAATAGTCAATGACGCAGCAAATCTAGTTGTGATGGTTGGTACTTCAAATATCCGAATCTCGACTGACGCGCTCAACACAGTTCGGTATTTATCATTTCACCCACGAGAAACGAATATGGCACAAAGCCGGTTTTATTGTGGGTTTCTCCGAGCCCGTAGGCTCGGCCAAAAAAATAGCCTTTGAACCCGCCTCGACGGGTTCAGGCCCTGTCTACCTCCCCGGACGAAACCTTGCCCTTCGGCAAAGCCTCATCCGGGTTCCTCTCTGCCAACGCTGAGAGTTCGACAGAAGGTGTGCGCAGTCAGAGACCGCTCAACACCGTTCGGTATTTATCTTTTCACCCACGGAAAAGAATATGGCACAAGGCCGGTTTTTATGTGGGTTTCCCCGAGCCCGTAGGCTCGGCCCAAAAATAGCCTTTTGAAATTTAAACGGGTTCAGGCCCTGTCTACCTCCCCCCCCCGACGAAACCTTGCCCTTCGGCAAAGCCTCGTCAGGTTCCTCTCTGCTAATGCAGAGAGTTCGACAGGAGGCGTGCGCAGTCAGAGACCGCGAGGCACCGTTCAGTATTTATCGTTCCACCCACGAGGACCGAATATGGCACAAGGCCGGTTTTAATGTGGGTATCCCCGAGCCCGTAGGCCCGGCCAAAAATATAGCCTTTGAACCCGCCTAGACGGGTTCAGGCCCTGTTCACCTCCCGGACGAAACCTTGCCCTTCGGCAAAGCTTCGTCCGGTTCCTCTCTGCTAACGCAGAGAGTTCGACAGGAGGCGTGCGCAGTCAGAACCGCGAGGCACCGTTCGGTATTTATCTTTTCACCCACGGAAAAGAATATGGCACAAGGCCGGTTTTTATGTGGGTTTCCCCGAGCCCGTAGGCTCGGCCAAAAAATAGCCTTTTGAAGCCGATTAAACGGGTTCAGGCCCTGTCTACCTCCCCCGGACGAAACCTTGCCCTTCGGCAAAGCTTCGTCCGGGTTCTCTCTGCTAACGCAGAGTTCGACAGGAGGCGTGCGCAGTCCAGAGACCGCGAGGCACCGTTCGGTATTTATCTTTTCACCCACGGAAAAAGAATATGGCACAAGGCCGGTTTTTATGTGGGTTTCCCCGAGCCCGTAGGCTCGGCCAAAAAAAGCCTTTTGAAGCCGATTAAACGGGTTCAGGCGCTGTCTACCTCCCGGACGAAACCTTGCCCTTCGGCAAAGCTTCGTCTGGGTTCCTCTAGAAACGCAGAGAGTTCGACAGGAGGCGTGCGCAGTCAGAGACCGCGAGGCACCGTTCGGTATTTATCTTTTCACCCACGGAAAAGAATATGGCACAAGGCCGGTTTTTTGTGGGTTTCCCCGAGCCCGTAGGCTCGGCCAAAAAAAAAATAGCCTTTTGAAGCCGATTAAACGGGTTCAGGCCCTATCCACCTCCCGGACGAAACCTTGCCTTCGGCAAAGCCTCGTCCGGGTTCCTCTGCTAATGCAGAGAGTTCGACAGGAGGCGTCCGCAGTCAGAGACCGCGAGGCACCGTTCGGTATTTATCTTTTCACCCACGGAAAAGAATATGGCACAAGGCCGGTTTTTATGTGGGTTTCCCCGAGCCCGTAGGCTCGGCCAAAAAAATAGCCTTTTGAAGCCGATTAAACGGGTTCAGGCCCTGTCTACCTCCCCGGACGAAACCTTGCCCTTCGGCAAAGCTTCGTCCGGGTTCCTCTCTGCTAATGCAGAGAGTTCGACAGAAGATGTGAGCAGTCAGAGACCGCGAGGCACCGTTCGGTATTTATCTTTTCACCCACGGAAAAGAATATGGCACAAAGGCCGGTTTTTTATGTGGGTTTCCCCGAGCCCGTAGGCTCGGCCAAAAAAAAAAGCCTTTTGAAGCCGATTAAACGGGTTCAGGCCCTGCCTACCTCCCCCCGGACGAAACCTTGCCCTTCGGCAAAAAGCCTCGTCCGGTTCCTCTCTGCTAATGCAGAGAGTTCGACAGGAGGCGTCCGCAGTCAGAGACCGCGAGGCACCGTTCGGTATTTATCTTTTCACCCACGGAAAAGAATATGGCACAAGGCCGGTTTTTTTATGTGGGTTTTCCCCGAGCCCGTAGGCTCGGCCAAAAAATAGCCTTTTGAAGCCGATTAAACGGGTTCAGGCGCTATCTACCTCCCGGACGAAACCTTGCCCTTCGGCAAAGCTTCGTCCGGGTTCCCTCTCTGCTAACGCAGAGGTTCGACAGGAGGCGTGCGCAGTCAGAGACCGCGAGGCACCGTTCGGTATTTATCTTTTCACCCACGGAAAAGAATATGGCACAAGGCCGGTTTTTTTGTGGGTTTCCCGAGCCCCGTAGGCTCGGCCAAAAAAAATAACCTTTTGAAGCCGATTAAACGGGTTCAGGCCCTGTCCACCTCCCGGACGAAACCTTGCCCTTCGGCAAAGCCTCGTCCGGGTTCCTCTGCTAATGCAGAGAGTTCGACAGGAGGCGTCCGCAGTCAGAGACCGCGAGGCACCGTTCGGTATTTATCTTTTCACCCACGGAAAAGAATATGGCACAAGGCCGGTTTTTTATGTGGGTTTCCCCGAGCCCGTAGGCTCGGCCAAAAAATAGCCTTTTGAAGCCGATTAAACGGGTTCAGGCCCTCTACCTCCCCGGACGAAACCTTGCCCTTCGGCAAAGCTTCGTCCGGGTTCCTCTGCTAATGCAGAGAGTTCGACGAAAGATGTGAGCAGTCCAGAGACCGCGAGGCACCGTTCGGTATTTATCTTTTCACCCACGGAAAAGAATATGGCACAAGGCCGGTTTTTATGTGGGTTTCCCCGAGCCCGTAGGCTCGGCCAAAAAAAAACCTTTTGAAGCCGATTAAACGGGTTCAGGCCCTGCCTACCTCCCGGACGAAACCTTGCCCTTCGGCAAAGCCTCGTCCGGTTTCCTCTGCTAATGCAGAGAGTTCGACAGGAGGCGTCCGCAGTCAGAGACCGCGAGGCACCGTTCGGTATTTATCTTTTCACCCACGGAAAAGAATATGGCACAAGGCCGGTTTTTATGTGGGTTTCCCCGAGCCCGTAGGCTCGGCCAAAAAAATAGCCTTTTGAAGCCGATTAAACGGGTTCAGGCCCTGTCTACCTCCCCGGACGAAACCTTGCCCTTCGGCAAAGCCTCGTCCGGGTTCCTCTCTGCTAATGCAGAGAGTTCGACAGGAGGCGTCCGCAGTCAGAGACCGCGAGGCACCGTTCTGCCAGACTTGCCACTGCTACTCCTACTTATTATCTATGGGAGAGTCCATTACCAAAGAATAGGTACTATGGCACAACATCACCCCTAAAACTTTACTCCGCAGGAGTAAAAAGTTTTTATTTATTTTTCAAATTTTTACAGAAAATTTTTTTTTTTTTTTTAAACAACATCGTAGCGTATTTCCTACGTTTTTTGATCCATTTTTAAATGATCAGTTGCCTTTTTTTTTCTTCTGGATCGGCGTACCTTAGGTAAAATTATTTGCAGGGGTTTGTTAGATCAAACTTATTGAAAATCACCTCCATCGGCGTTTTTTTTTTTTTTTCGCGGGACCGCTGTCAACCACGTCTGAAAAAACGTCGTCTGATCTGTTTACTGCACGTGAGTTTTTCCCCTTTCACCAAGTACGTCATGTAGCCAATCCGCTTTTTTATTATTATTTTATATATATATATATATATATATATATATATATATATATATATATATATATATATATATATATATATATATATATATATATATATATCCAAAGCGTTACCAGAAACAACCTTCCGCTTTGAACTTCTTAAAGTTGGACTCAGTTTCTGTAGATTCTTGTTGACTTAAATCATTTAATAATACTGCATGTCCTTGTTTGCGTGTAACTTGTTCCTCAGTTTTTTTTTTCGGTGTCGGCTTCATTTTTACTTTCTGAAGCTTGTTTTTCACGCATATTGACGGTGTTAGCCATTCCACTTTTTTAAATAAACCCGTTTTTTCTAATCTGTCCAATTCATTATCTATCTGTTCAATTGAAGCAAACAGCACATTCCTTTTCTTTTTGAATACCGCCTGAGCGTTTTGTTTTGGCTGTAATTTTGCCTCCATCTTGGTACACGTTCCCAAACCTGGAGAAAAAACAGTAGGAAAAGTTCTCTTTAGTTTCCTAACTAATTTTTTAGCTTCGTAGTTTAAATTTTCAACCTTGTAACAGAAAGAATTTATTGGTAAATCCCATAATTGAAATTCTGTTATCCAATCCGTACCAAGTAAGTTCGTGGTATTTTTCATGACAAATAGTTTAACTTTTCGCGTTTTTTTATTTAACGTGACGTTTGTAACAAATTCTCCAATAAATGGTATTTTTTCTCCTGTCACGGACCTCGCG